GTGAATATATCATAAACGATTCAAATGATATTGATTATACAGTGTCTTCTACATCAGCTGTGAAACTGTTTGGACAGAGGCCCTCGAGATATTGCACTATTGCGTTTATCGATGCGAAAAAGTCATGAACTAATACGATCTCAAACCATTCTTATCATGCATATATGTATCTATGCATCATGAAGATGATCCGAAAATGGATCGAAACATCGAAATGTAAGAAGAATCTAAAATACAGATAGGATTTAACGGATAATTATTTGCGTCTCATTTACTGCGCTTGACTCCCATTGCCTTTATTATCATTTTTATTTATTTTTTTCTAATTAAAGGAGTTCTTCTTTTTTAATCTTTTTTTAATCTTATCTAATTGTATATCTGCGGGAACAATATTAAAATCAACAGTAAAAGGTATCATAAAAATAAATAAGTCTTCTTCTAAAACATGCATTTCCCTAAACCGACAATCGAATTCATTATGTAATAATTGAAGTGAATTTATATATTCTTCATATTGCTTATCTTGAATGTGCGTGGCAACAGATAATAGATTTGAAAAATGCAACAACTGTCAAGATTGAAATTGATTGATCCATAAATTAAGTTTCATTTTAAAAGATCTAATTTAATCAAACATGAATAATATGAATAATTAACTTATCTTTGCCTTGTAAAGAGTAATATAATGTATTTAAATGATTAGTGATATCCGCAAGAAAGGCGAGTTTGACAATCCAGGAAGGCTGTAATAGTTCAGGCACAGACTTATCTTTCATTTCTAAAAATATAATTATTTCTTCGCGTAAATGAAAGAAACACTGAAGAGTTTTATCTCGATTAAGCCATTCTGTTTCGCAAAAATAGGAAATATCGGTATAATCTGACTCTAAAGAAGATAAAAATTCGCGAAATTGACGATGATTCAATCCAGTAGTTCTAATAAAATTTACAACTTTGATTACAATTTTTATTACTTCGTCATACTTTAAAGATTTTGCACATAATGTCCCTTGATGGATGATACAATGGATCGAATGTATTTCTTGTTTTGATTATGCTAATTTAGACTTTGAATGTTCTATAGTATCGAAGCCTATATTATGTCCAATCATTGCTGCAGCACCATCAGTAGCAACTGAAGTTAATTTATGTATATTGAAGTTATTTTAAGATAGATTATGTTTTCTATTGCTTCTTCAACGCTAAACAATACTTCTCGTAGTACCTTTCAGAGGTATTATATTTAAAAGTTCCTCAATAATAGAGATATTGCTATCCATACGAATAAAAATTGCCAATTGTGCGGTGTATCAATGATATCCGTACTCTCGTCAAGAACTAACGAAAAAGCAATAAAATTGTTTACTTTTAGTACCAATTGTCGCTCGAGATTTTCAGCTAATTTTTCAGTGCGACGTACTACAGTTCGAAAAGAGTAATTAATTTAAATTTATTAATATCATTAGGATATATTGTTTTTACGGCAATTTCTAAACATTATTTGACAAATGGACCAATGCTAAATGGATGTGATTCACGTTCAATAAAATAAGCAATTTTATAACTAGCATACAATGCAGACTTACTATTATTTAATTCGATTCTTCTTCCTGTATTAGAATAATATCTTTATTAAATGTAAGGTACCTAGTAAAAAATTTTTTATGCAAAAACATGTATAAATATATATATACATACGTAATATACATACGTAATATAAATGTACATAATGTACATAACGTACATAAATATATATTTTACAAAAAATTAAGTTTGAAGAAATAAAAAAAATTGCTCATATATAATCATATATATTCATATATATTCTTTCAATCATAAATATACATAATTATATATGGGCAATGTTTTCTCATTTCTTCAAATTTCACTCTTTGTAAAAAAGCAATGCAAAATTATTCATTCTTTTAATTATTTTTTATGTAACCGATTGAGAAAACAGGTCTTACGCGGCGAAGCTAAATCTTAGTGCTTATATATGATTTTAAATTATAATATTTAAATTTCGATTAAACATCGACCTCTTCTGCTAAATTGCGGACTCGCGAAACATCCTCCAATTAATAGAATCCTCGATATCTCCCTCACATGAAATATGTACTGCGAAAAATATTATCTTATACCAGGAATCGAATCTGGCACTCCCGCTTTCTGAGCAGGCGACAAATTTTTTTATGTCTTCTAATTATTATTATTATTTTTCTTATATCAAACAAAAATTTTACAAAGGAAGAAAACTAATATGAATATATATGGACATATCTCGCGTATAATTATAAATATTTATATATATTTATACATATATATATGTATAAATTATGTATATATGTATATATGTATATATGTTTATATGTATATATGAAAAATTTTCTATATGAAAAATTTTTACCGAGTATAATTAAATATTAGGTGTACAAAAAATTCTGAGCTTTAGATTTCATACAACCGAAATAACAATTTAAATTTTATATATCTTCCCGCCCTTTTGCGGTTTTAAAGCGTTGACATTTGGCCTTCTAAAAATATCATACGGTTTGGCGTTTGATGCACATAACCTCAAAAATCAGTAGTGTTCACGATGGCAAAAGAGCATATTCGACTTTCCATCCACTTCGCGTTTCATCTGAAGAAAAATGCTGCTGAAACCACTGCAATGATTTGTGCTGCATATAGAGAGAACGCTGTAAGTCATACTACATGTAAAAGATGGTATAAAAAATTTCGCCAAGGAGATTTCAGTCTTGAAGATGAATCGCGTGCTGGACGCCCTCAAAAGATTGAAACGGACGAATTGCAAGCACTGCTGGATATAAACTCTGCGCAAACTGAAAAGGAGCTTGCAGAACAGCTTGGCGTTACGCAGCAAACCATTTCCGTATGTTTACGTATATGGGAAAGGTTCAGAAGGAAGGCAGATGGGTTCCGAATGAATTGTCCGAAGACAACAAAAATCGTCGGCGTGACATTGCATTCACTTTGCTTTCAAAGTTCCGGAAAAAAGATTTTCTGCACAAAATTATTACAGGCGATGAAAAGTGGATTCTTTATGATAACCCTAAACGTAGAAAATCATGGGTTGACCCTGGTACCTTCGACATCGATGCCAAAGTCCAATATCCACGCCAAGAAGGTTTTGCTCTGTATGTGATGGGATTGGAAAGGTGTATTACGTTAAGTTGTATTACGAGTTCTTACAACCGGGTGAAACAATCACGGCAGACCGCTATCAACAACAATTGACCAATTTGAGCGATGCATTAGAAGAAAAGAGGCCATTTACTGGCCATTTACTGGCCAAGGACGTCGTAAAGTGATCTTGCTTCATGACAATGCTCGACCACATGTTGCGAAAGCGACTCAGGACCATATCTTTGCGTTAGGGAACTTCTCCCGCATGCGGCGTATAGCCCAGACATGGCGCCTTCCGATTACTACCTATTCCGGTCGCTGCAGCATCATTCGGCTGATACACATTTCGTGAGATTTGAAGAGATACGAAAATGCATTGATGACTTTATCGCTTCGAAACTGGTGAGCTTCTATCGTCAAAGAATTCGCAAGCTACCCGAAAGATGGCAAAAGGTCGTTGATGCAAACGGGGAATATTTCGCTGATTAATATTTTTTTGTTTGTTTTTGAATAAAGATTGAATTTTACAAAAAAGGCTCAGAATTTTTTTGTACACCTAATATTTCCGATATTATGGCATTATTTTATTCATCACTATATTTCACGATATAATTCTCATTAATATTTTACTATTATTATATTATTATTATTATTATTTTCTTTATTATTATTATTTTAATGTAACTATTTATTTGTGTTACATTTAATATTTTACAATAATCCAGGAAATCATTTATTTCTGTCATATTAAATAATTTTGAATCATAATTTCACAACCAATTACACCAACAATCGTAACTTTACAATACAATATCATATCCCGATTATTATATTAACAGAACATATTTCTCCGCGGTTTCCGCTCGGTCGCGGAATATTTTCTAATCTGAAAATATAGTTTAATCATATCCAGTATTGCCATTGAACATAAATACACTAAATACCCCTTCCCAAATTCCATTAACCGTTCTACGCCATCTCGGGATGTAACATCGCATTGCACAATGCCGTGAAAGAAATAAAAGCCAACCAAGATCGCGTGTGAAGAGTCTATTCTTTCGTTTGCTTCAGGTAGGGTTCATTTGACCACGTTGCAATTGACTACCAGCCACTCATAACGTTTGAACAGAGGAAAACCTCTAAGCACCGGCCGCTGTGAGTGGCTATGGTCAATCACACGTGATCAAACGAGACGCTCCTGCTTCAGGTAAACGTAACCTAAAAACGGACAAAGGACAAAGTTTACTAAATGATTTATGATATTATATCAAAATCGTCTTATTTTCGATTAATTTTTTCATCAGGTTTTTGTCGACAAATTTTGATAAGTTTCATAATATTTAAACTGGAACATTACAGAAAAATTTCTGAAACATATTCATATACATTATTCTACATATTATATTTTCACACAAATTATATTTAGGTTAAATGGAAGATGATTTGATATATTATATGTACAATGCAAATAGTTGTACTAACATCATCGCCATCAAATGTGTCTTGTATATCGGACAATAATCCATTGTCCAGAAAGTTATTACAATAAGAATGTTAATTTTTTGTTAATCCAACAAGTTTCGAAACTATCCCCTATATACTCCGTAAAAAGATTATGGCTGCGCTCTAAATTCACATAGCATAGTATAGATAGACCGAGCATGCTATATACCAGGCAATGAGTGATATGTGTGAGTGAGAAGAAACAACACCTGATTTTTTTTCTCTCTCTAATAGAAGAAGATGAGGGAAACATTAAGTAGGGACTATGTCTAGAATTTAGATTTATCTATACTATATCTATGAATATTTATTACCAGGACGCAGTCTATAACCTAAACAGAAAAATCCGAATGCTGTGAATGGTAGGCTATAAGATAGACATAGAATTCCAACTCGTCGGAAATTTTATCACTATTGTTTATTCCATTTTCCAATCTGCATTGCCACATGCATTTGTGTATGTTGGATTCTTCTGTTCTTATGAAGAAATCGCAATCGCTATGCTTATGCCTGTATATTTCTATCACTATCGCTATTCCTTCGCATTGTGTAAGGGACTTAAAACTTCCACTTCCATTCTCCATTGTTCTTCATCGCCCTGTCGTGTTTTTGCTGAGGTACATAAGATCTTCGATATTGTTTCTGCAAAATTATTTTAATAATTAGTTTTTAAGTCATCCACGTTGGATTTAGGATGTTGCATATATTCTATTTCTATATAAAAATAATGCAAAAAATATTTTAAATTATATTAAATATTAGGTTAAGAAACCATGTGCTTCTATAAATTGAATTATCATTCGCATTGTGCATATGGCATGTTGAATTGAAAAAGATTTTAGATTATATTAATATTCAAATATGCATTAAAATAATGAAAAAAATGTACTTGTGGAAATTAGAAGGATGATCTAAAGATGGATGAATCCATTTTGGTTGAAAACTAATTATATGTAGAAAAAACATATTTTACATATATTTTTTTTTATTTGAGATAAATGCCATTATTTTTTATTGCACTTTCTATCTATGGAAGTATACAATAACAGAAGAAATATACTGTATATATATATATATATATATATATATATATTTCTTTTTGTACATTTAATTCTTATTCTTAATTATTTCTAGTCCTTAAATTCCTAAGGTATCCCTACACACTTAAAGATGGGTAGGGAGGACAAAGCTACATGGAAATCCAATTACTTTACTAAACTTGTTGTAAGCATCTTGTTATTTATAATTTTGTTCTGATATTAAAATATGTATAATGTGATATTTAGACATGTATAAATTATATCTAAATATTATGTAATAATTAAAATATAACAAAATATTAAAATAATTTTTTTTGTTAAATATTAGCAACTATTAGATGATTACCCAAAATGCTTCATTGTGGGTGCGGACAATGTTGGTTCAAAACAAATGCAACAAATTCGTATGTCACTACGTGGCAACGCAGTTGTATTGATGGGTAAGAATACCATGATGAGAAAAGCAATTCGTGGTCATATCGAACGAAATGCAGCACTGGAGAAACTACTGCCTCATATCCGTGGTAATGTAGGATTTGTTTTTACTCGAGGTGATTTAATTGAAGTAAGGGACAAATTGTTGGAGAATAAAGTACGCGCCCCTGCAAGAGCAGGAGCCATTGCACCCTTAAGCGTAATTATTCCTGCCCAAAATACAGGACTTGGTCCTGAAAAAACATCTTTCTTCCAAGCCTTGAGTATTCCAACTAAGATTTCCAAGGGTACTATTGAAATTATAGTAAGTATTTGTTGAGAAGTGCTTGAGTTTGATTTTTTTGGCATCGTTCGTGAGCTTTACAAATATAATTGTGATATCAATTTTTAGAACGACGTTCACATTCTCAAACCTGGTGACAAAGTAGGAGCTTCGGAAGCCACACTTTTGAACATGCTGAACATCTCTCCATTTTCCTATGGATTATTGGTCGAACAGGTGTATGATTCTGGCACCATCTTCGCTCCTGAGATTTTAGACATCAAGCCTGAAGACCTTCGTGAGAAATTCATGGCTGGCGTTGCAAACTTGGCTTCAGTTTGTTTGACAATTGGTTATCCCACGGTTGCTAGCGTGCCGCATAGCATTGCGAACGGCTTCAAGAATCTGCTTGCTATTGTTGCTGTTACTGAAGTTGAATTTGCAGAGGCTGCCACTATTAAGGAATATGTCAAGGTATGACTCTGTACATGATGCTAATATTTCATTAATCTTAACATTTCTGAACAATTTATAATGATGAAAATATTACTCGTCTAAAGATCTTGGTCCATGTGTCAGAGCTAAAAATAGCTGAACCCACTGAAACGTCAAGATCACAAATTGAAATAGCGCGCGAAGCGCAATCTGAATATTAAGCATAATGTAAATGTTACATGCACAACTGGTCGAGAAGTCACATTTAATTAAGAATAATAAAATTGCTTGTAGGATCCAAGCAAATTTGCTGCTGCTGCAGCTGCTGCGGCAGCTCCTGTAGCCGCAGCTATTGATACTCCTGCTGCGGAAAAGAAAGAGGAGAAGAAGGAAGAATCTGAGTCCGAGGATGACGACATGGGTTTCGGATTATTTGACTAAAATGCATCAACTCGCTTCTGAAACAAATCTAGAGAATACCCAATAAATTTTGGATAAATTTTATAAACTGTAGTTTTTCAGATAAAATAAAACTCAATTGAAACGATTCCAAGTTTAATACATTCCTTAACATTCCAACATTAGAATTTTTAATAAATTGTCAAATCTTAATATCTAATGAGAAAAAAGAATGTTAATTATGGAGAGGTTGCCTTGTACTTCTAATATTGCAAAAATAAAGTTTAAAAAGTTGGCTGGTGTATCTGAAGAGCTATCGTATAAAAATTTTATGTAATATGTAACATGTAAAAGCGTATGCTTGAACATAAACGGATTGGATTGTGAGATACTCAATTACGTTATTTGATAAAAGCTATCAAGCATCTCGTCAATAAAGGTATTTATATTATATTTTTATATCTAGATGGCTCAGCGTTCAACAAGCTTTAATCTATATCACGCGCATGCATTTAACTCATTTTACAATCACGGATTTGTATTTATAATTCAAAACTTCTTCGAAGTGTAACGGAATGTTTACACACATATAGCGTTTGATAAATGTACATCAAAAGCTTCTAAATATTAATTAAATGAATGCGAGAATAATTTCGCCTACGCTTTACAGAAAAATGAGTAATAAATGATAAATAAAAACACACACGCACGCACATTCTTATTATATTTACTAGAAATGTGTATTATTTTAATAGTCACAAAAAGAAAGTTAAACCTTTTTTCATAAGTGGAATTTTGATTAGAATCAGGATGCCGTCCCATGGAGCGTATCGTGCATATTGCGGATCGCGCATATCTGCACCAATCTGACGTTCCGCTATTTTTGATACGCAGCCGCTCCGCTAAATCCATTATTGTAGCATAACTGAGCGTAATACGCATCGAATATAAATGGTAAAGCTAAATTTGGAATTTTTTTAAGATAATAGAGATCGACATAAGCAACAAGGAAGATCTAATTATCGGCAACATTTTGCCAGCTGTTTTCGTCTTTTTTTATAAAAACGGTATTTTTCAAACGTTCCCAAATAACTTCGCAAGTCTCTGACACTATTTTAGAAATGGTATTGTGTCCAACACGAAAGGCATGTGATAATGATCGCATACTGTCTCCTGATGCTAAGTACCTGATAGTTATATGCAATCTTATTTCAGATGGAATAGCTTTTCGAACCGCAGATTGTTTAATAATCGATGGTCCGATTATTTGTAATAATTTCTCAAAAAATGTCGGTTCCAATCGGAAATAATTAACGAATTTTTCACGATCTTGTTGCTCCAGTTCATTAACAAGATTATTGTTCGCTTTTTGTGTTAACCGTCATTCAATACTAAATATTGAATTGACCCAATATTTTCGTTTTCCTTTATCAGCTTTTTTTCACTTTTTATTAATGTAGAATAAAGTGCATACATCTTAATAATTTTACAATATATTTCCTGCCTGATGAAAGTATTATGATTGTGTTTTAGATGTTTTGTTAATAACAAAAGCAAAAGCAATATTGTTCTTGATTTCATTTTACACCTGTTAAATCAATTACGAATTTTTTCATTTAATTATATTAGATAATGAATATTTAATTAAATATCCATAATGTGTAAGTAAATTTGATTAAATTTCATTAAATATTAATTGTGAATTTAGTTAATCACAAAACTGTTTAGATGAAGAGAAATAACGAAAATCGTTTATGATTGGCTATACGCCTGATCCGCTTACGCAAATTCATAGTGTAAGTAAATTTTATTAAATTTTATTAAATATCACCATACCCACCATAAACAAAACCCTCCAGTAGACGTCTATTAGACGTCAGCCATGGATATTCAAAACATCCATTAGATGGTTATTAGACTTCCAGTTGACGTCCACAAGAAATCCACAGTTCCGCTTCGTGGAAGTGTATGAGATCGCCATTAGACATCTTCCATAAACGTCTGTTAGACGTTAGATGGATCACTAATAGAGGATCCATGAAGTCTCGGTAGACGACACGGAACAAAAACCTCTAATAGATGTCCATTAGAAGTCCATTATGGAGATATGTAACTTC